AAAGAAGAAAAATCAGACCAGGAGCAATCCACCAAAGGTGATGAAGGTGCCAGTGCAACAAAGAAGAGCAAGTCCCAACCAAAAGAAGCAGCCACACAAGCATAGAGAAGAAGTTTCCCCAACCATGAAAAAGGGTAAAGGGTAGAATTTAGGAAAGGGTAGACTTAGGGGTTCACTTTTGGGTTTAGAAGTGCTTAGGATTCATCATTAGGTAGAAGGGAGCTTTGATTTGCATGCATAAGTGTGCTTTTACCTTTAGCATTTTGCCAAAGATGAAATCCATTTCATTGAGTGATCCTTTATGTTTATTAACCCTTTGCTAAAATGAGATCATTATTATCTCATAACCTTACCCTTTTCAACCAAATGTCTTCACTTGATTTCCATAAGCATGATTCATGGTTCTGATCTTAATTGAATGTTAAAGAGTTGGTTGATTTGAGCATTTGCCTAAGTTGAGATTTGAGATCATTTTGAAACATGATGAGCATGGCTAGGTTCTTTAAAGTATAGCTGATTATGTTTGCATCCTACAACTAGGCTTTTAAACATTGATACCATCTCTTTACCTTTGCACTTTTGGAATCTGAATGCCCACCTTCAAACCTCACTCTCTCATTTGTTCTTATTTGCTTGAGGACAAGCAAAAAACAAGTGTGGGGGTGTTGATATCTCTTGTATTTACACCATTTAGGCCTGCATTTAGTACATGTTTTGGTTCTCTTTTGTATGTTTTCCTTTAGTTTTTGTCCCATTTTCTTCTCCTTTTAGACTTAGGTTGCATTTAGGGTATAGTTTGCATTTTCATTGCATTTTGGATGTTTTTAGGTGCTTTTGGAGCTAAAAGGAGCTTGGAGGAACTTTGAGGATGATTCATGATGCTAGCTGGATCAAAGGGAGCAAAAGGGATCAAAGCAGACAATCTCTGCAAAGGTTTTCGGCCAGAGCACGGAGAACATCAATCAAGGGATCGATGTAAGATTTTCGGTCAGGAGCATCGATCATGAAGTGATTGATACGAGCACATCGATCATCAGCATCGATCAGAAGTGATCGACACAAACGCCCCGAGTTAATTTCGGTCACCACATCGATCACTGCCCAGACCGATGCAACTCTACATCGATCAACCCTGACTGTTATAAATGACCGATGTAAACCCTGGCCGGACCTGTTCTATTTACATTTCTGCCATTACTCTAGGGCTTCCTTCCTTAGGCTATAAATAGCCCATTTTCCTGATTTTCGACAAGTCTTGTCAAATTACTGTTCTTAAGCATTTTCTTTAAGTTTGTAAGAAAAATGATTTGCTTTATTTAATATATTTGAGTATTTGCCTTTAATCTTTCATTATTCTCTCTTCAAATCATGATTAACATCCTTTTTCTTTGTGATTTGGTGTTAAACATGAGCATTAAGGAGTAGTTTGCTTAGAGTTTCTAGATGTGGTAGATTAGAGGAATTTAGGACTTGATTAAGGCTTGTTTAGTGCTTCAGTTTATGGGTTCCTCTCTATTAATCTGTTCTTAAACTAGATTTGTCTTGATCACACTTATCTAGGTTGTTAGCTTTCTTTTATGCCCACCAAGTGTTTGATGAAATACTGATCTTGTTTAATAGAGGATTTACTGGCCTTGGCTCAAGAGATTGACTGTTTGAGGAGCATCTTGACTGAAATAGAGTTGTTTATTAATGCTTGCTTAATGTTTTAGCACTAATGAGAGTTAGTTCTTGTTAACATGTTTAGCAAAGGGCTATTTTACAAGAGATTGGATCTAGCTTGCTTGATTGTGAACTCTATGTCTAGGAATCACCATTGCTAGCTTGTTTGCTTGATCAATGTTGTTTGAAACAGCCTTAGTTAGTTTATAAATTACCCAAAGTAAATAACCACATCTAGGAACTTGCTTTTCTCTTATTTGAATTTTGGATTTGCTCTGTTTTGCTTGCTTAGTTTTGCTTAGTTTGCCTTTATCTTTACTTTCTTTGCTGCTTGATCATATTAGGATGTTAGGTTGGTTGCTTAGGCAACAAAAACACTTTTCTGCTTGCTTGACTTAGAGATTTTTACTCTCAACTCTTCTGTTTTCAACTAAAACCCATTTGGATTGATAAAAGCCCTATGCTATACTACAACTGACTAGTACAAGCTTGGGTGATTGAATCAAGACCTCAAAAATCTTGTATCAACTACTAAACCCTAAAAATATTAAGGATAAAGAAGAGCCAACATTCAGAATATGATTGTGTCAAGATTTAAAGATGGAACTTAAAAGGTGGGAAGAGCAAGGCGTTCACTTATGGAGAGCTGAAAGTGGGGAGACAAACGAAAGATGTTTCAATGGTGTAGAGTTGAAGAGCCTTCTAAATCCTTTGAAGGATGGTACCAATGGAGAAGTGATTTGGTGTTCAATCACTTTGGTTTGGTACAAAACTCAGGAGTTAAGGAATCATGCGACTTGACTTATGTCAAAGTATGGAGTTGAGGAAAAGGGAGCGAGAGTTTACAGGAAGAGCGGTTTCACCAGACAAATTATATCTGCATTGGGGAGAAACATCAAGTAAAGGAAGAATTAGAGTGTTAATGATCGGTTGTAGGTTATGATCATTGTTATAGCACGCTTAAGACGAATGAAGATTTCCAAGAAGATTGATGGAGTTTACATGGATAATGATTGTAAGATTATTTAGCACCCTGGAAAGGCGATGTTGCAGCAGATGCTTAAAGTTAATGTGGGGAGAAATGTAGCATGGGAGGATGATGCATAAGCTTTAACATCCAGATTTAAGATGGTCAATCTATCGATACCAGAAGTAGAAGGCAATGAACTATAGAGACTGCAAGGTGGTTGTTTGCAAATAATTTGTGAAGGAGACACAAATTTGAAAAGAATTATGGAGGAGTTAAGAGAGAAGCGCAACTAGAAGAATCATGGAGCGGAAGGACGAAAATCAAGCAAATGAGATGAATCGAAAGAAAAAAGGAGTTCCTGTATACAAGAACGACGTCATGATAAAGAAATCCAAATACTTGAAGGAAATGGAGCCATTGAAATTATGTCAGCTAAGTAACAACTGAGTCCACTATAAACGAATGGAAACATATATCTTTGAAATATTGGAATGGTATGCGATGCAAGGGTGCTATGAGCATGTAGAGAGAAAACTGCTATGGGAAATGATACAAGTTGTGCAAGCTGCATCATTTTTCTTATTACCATAACAGCAAAGTGAAGAAAAGATGGAGTAAAGGGAAAAGAGAAAGAGAAGAGAAGGTAGGAAAGACAAATAAAAGGGAGAGAAAGGAGAGAGTTCGTGAGGAAGAAGAACAAGGAGAGAAGGAGAAAGAAAGAGAATGGGAATGGAGTGAGAGCGTGAGCACCACCATACGCTGTTACTGCCTCGCCACCTCCATTTTTCCTCCAAGCAAGAGATCTCCACCCGTCATATAATCCTTGTGGTGTCTTTCGTCATTGTTTGCTTCGTTGATGCATCTGTGGTAGCAATTACAAGTGAGTTGTATTCTATCCTCACTGTGTGGTCCGTTTTGGTGTGTTGATCTTTGAAGTCATGCCTTGTGTGGGAGTGATGAGGAAAAGTCATCATCAGCCAAGGAGAAAGGAATCAAGAAGCATGAAGAGGAGAACATAAAGCTAAGGAGGGCCAAGGGGTCATACAAAATTTTGCCAGCTTAAATGGAGACCTGGACCCGGCATCTAAACTCAACAACCCATTGGAGTTAACACTTAGCTTATGTAGAGCACACCACGAAGAAGAATCAACCTAAAAGGATTTCAAATGAAGGAGTTATTCAGCTTGCAAAACGGGTGATTTCAAACATACCCGAACTGGACATACGTACATTGATTTGGGGTTTCCGACTGAACCATGAGGTACCAAGTGGGCAGTTATAGTTCATTGTTGGCCGAAAAGTCTTGGTGCTGCGTAAGGATGGATGATATATGTTCTTTAACCTAGAGTGGATGTAGAGATATTGTAATGTCTTGGAAGACTTCCATGATGTAAGTGCACCAGTGGGACGTATAGACAGAAATGTCTGTTCAAGTCGAGTTGGTGGGTTATGTTTAAGGAACATCTGGAGATCAGACCAGTTGGTGCAACATCATTGCCTTCATATGCGTGGCCTAGAAACGAATGTCTAAGTAGGCTTTCATGATTAGCGTGGTTGGAAATGGGTATTACAAGTATGGTGCTTGAGTTTAATGATATTACAAAATTATCTTTAATAAAATGATTAAATTTTCTAGTAAATCCAATGGCACATTTAGTAAATATCTTGATAGTTTTTGGACATTTCAAATTAATGATTCTCTTTTAATAGTATATATATATATATATATATATAAAGATAAAAGCAAATAAATAATCACTATTTATTTAACAAAATTTATGATTTAAAAATATGTCAGTGAAAAATTTGTTATCTAATTGAATCATACAAAAAATAGTGCTTAGAATGGCAATTTAAAAGTTAGACATTTAATAATGTTCATTTTCTTATTGATTACAAATGGATTCGAAGTTCTCAACCCCAAAAACAAAACACATGAAGCCCAGTCGTAACAGTCTTAAGCAATGAGATGCGCATCTCCCATGTGTGTGTTCTTCGGTGAATCCAATTATCCAACAAAAGAACATCACGATTAGGCCCGCATGCCTTCGAAATCTATTTGATGTCTTCTTTCTCTGATTACTTTGAAACCAATTGAGAAGATCTTCGTATATATCAAGATTGAAATTCGAAAAAAACTTCAGATGATGTGTTACTCATAACTTTGTAAGAAAACATAAATATTCATATTGAACAAGAGTTATATTAAACGACGATACAGATTCAAACTGATTTTAAATCCAACGATTCACATTCTTCTCTACAGTAAATATATATATTATTTATGTGGACAATGTTCTGCTTCAGCTTCAGTTGCAGATAACAGTGTCAGAGCCGAGAAAAAGAACACGTACCGAAAACAGGGAAAATGTCAGTCATTTTACGAGGAGGAATCGCTGGAGGATTTCTTCTCCGTCGCCGAGACTTCTCAGCCGTCATCACAAGACGAAGAATCTCATCCATTGGAGCCGTAACAGGACGAGCCGTCAATCCAACGGTTGCTGTAGAACAACGTGCCACGTGGCTACCTGGTCTCGACCCTCCTCCTTACCTTGACGGAAAGTGAGTTTCGTCTTTTGTCTTCTTTACACACAAAAAGCTTTCTTGGTTCCAAAAACCAAATCGTTTTCTGTTTCTTGAAAATAAAAGGTTCGCTGGAGATTACGGGTTTGACCCGCTTGGGTTAGGAGAAGATCCGAAAAGCTTGAAATGGTATGTTCAAGCAGAGCTTGTTCACTCTCGTTTCGCCATGCTTGGTGTTGCAGGAATACTCTTCACCGATGTAATATAACAAATCTTTCATCATTTTCCTCAATTCTTGAAATGTTGAAACCCCACCAAGAAAATGGCTAATCAAGAAGCTTTGTTTTGGTTTTTCATGTAGCTGCTTCGTATCACAGGGATTAGCAATTTACCGGTTTGGTATGAAGCTGGAGCTACGAAATTCGATTTTGCCAGCACAAAAACTCTCATAGTTGTACAGTTTCTACTTATGGGGTAATAATATAAAACTCATTATCTCTGTATCTAGATATCCATTGTTAAACAAACAAAAGCTCAGAAATCAGATTGATTCTGTTGTTTATTTTACAGGTTTGCTGAGACCAAAAGGTATATGGATTTCGTCTCTCCGGGTTCTCAAGCTAAAGAAGGAACTTTCTTTGGACTTGAAGCAGCACTCGAGGGGCTCGAGCCCGGGTAAGTTTTCTTTTATATGATCCAACTTTTTTTACTCTGTGTGTACATTGTGTAGAATGCTTTAGGATCTAGTTCTTGATTTTGGCTTAGATATCCTGGAGGACCGCTACTGAATCCGCTAGGTCTTGCTAAGGATATCGAAAACGCTCATGACTGGAAGCTTAAGGAGATCAAGAACGGTATATTAAACTTTGATTTGCCTCATACTCATAAACTCTGTTGGTGACCATTAATTGGTGTTTTAAACAGGTCGTCTAGCAATGATGGCGATGCTAGGGCTCTTCGTTCAAGCTTCTGTGACTCACACTGGTCCTATCGATAACCTTGTCGAGCATGTCTCGAATCCATGGCATAAGACCATCATTCAAACCGTCTTCACCTCTTCTTCTTAAGTACTTTTTCATTTAGCGACATTCTTGATGTATCAAATTATCTTTATTTCATTTAAGAGTACAAAAAATCTAAACAACCATGTTTATGAAATTCAGATACTCTGTTTTCCATTTTTCATAACGAAATACCAATTGAATATGTCATAAAAAGGAGTTTGTTCACTTGTTTGGTTTCTTCCTTGACAAGAACATGAAGACTTTAGGAAGCAAAGAAAACCTCTTCTTTTTCTTCTTTGTTTCAGGTGTCACCACATTACTACTTTCTCCAACGTTGCTGCTTCCTTGTTCACCAAATGCAAATGATCTTGCTGAATGTAAAGCCGATTTCGACTTGCTTAAGTCATGATTCTCCTTTTTACCTCCTTCGGGGCTCCTATTTCCATTTTCGGAGCTCCATTTTCGCAACTCATGATCCATACCAACCTTCCCATCTCTAGCCTTTTCGACTTTCCTCATTGCTTCTTTTAACTCTTCCTTTCTTGAAAATGTTTCTCTGTTCACTTCCTCAAGATTCTCCAAGATTCTTGATTCTTCTTCCTTAGCCACCTCAATTTGAGAAACGATCTCCGCTAGTTTTCTGTTGGCTGCCTCCTCTACCTCATGTGCTTGCTTGCTTAGCTCATAATACTCCTCCACAGATATTATTATGTTTCTTGGTGAGCTACTAATATCCTCAATCTTATTAGCACATTGTGTTTCTTGCAACGCTTTTATGGCAGCTAAAGCCAACTTCTCAGAAGCTTTCGCAGCTTCCATTACCATTTTTGCTTCGATTAACTGACTTTCTATTGCAGAGAATCCTGTTTTCGCTTGATCTGACTCTTCCTTCGCCTTTCTCAGCTCCTCTCCAGTAGCTAAAGCAAGTGACTTCGCCTCCTCTGCTTCTCTGCTCGCTTCTTGCAACTTCTTGGCTATCTCTGCGCATCTCTCCTCTCTTGCTTCTTCGCTGTTTCTCTGAATCGAACTAGCTTCTCTCTGTTTCGTTTCTGAGAGATCTTTCTTCTCTCTTTCAAGTTCAGACTGCAATGACCCAACGATTATCTTCAATGTTTTCACCTCGGAAACCGCTTTCTCGATGTTTGCTTTAACTTCTTCAAGCTCCTTCCTCGCGGAATCAACCGCTGCTTGTATGTCACTGTTGTTTCTCTTTCCCTTATCGTTTGAGTCGTTGTAAGCTGCTATTTCGGCTTTCAAATCTTGCTGTAGTACAGAAGCACTCTCTAGTTTTATTTTCACATCATCAGCCGCATTAATCTCTTGTCTAAGCCTCTCGATATCGTCTTCAACCATTTTCAGTTCCTTCTCCCGGTTATAAAAGTCATGGTCACGAGCCATGGCTGCCTCAAGTTTCTTTTCTTCAGCTTCGAGATGAGCCGCGTGCGCTGACTCCAACAACTCCTTTGTGGCAATCATCTCTATTGTCAAACCTGTCATCTGTTTCTCTAGATCTTTAGCTTCCAAAACAGAGTCCTCTGCTTTCTTCGCAGCCGATTCTTTTTCCTTCAACAGAGATTCATACTCTTGAGAGACCATTTCTATCTCTTCTCTTACGTTCCCTAGCTCGGAAACCGCTGATAATTGCCTCGTTTTAGCAACCTCGAGCTGTGTTTTGGCCGCGACACTCGCATCATCGGCTATTCCTTGCTCCATTTCCTCCACACGCAGCTTCGCGAGATCAGAGTCTTGTTTCGCTTGTTGCTCCTCTTTCTCGGCCTTCTCTAGCACGAGCTTTAGCTCTTCCACGACACTTCTTGTCCTCTCAAGCTCCATCACCACCTGCTGCTTTGCCTCTTCCGCTACAACCGCTTGTTTTTTGTACTCAGGCATGTCCTCTTGTATTTTCTCAAGCTCTTGATCCACCGTCTTACGTCTCTGGAGACGATCATAAAATCCATCACAAATTTCAAACTGAACAAGAAAAATAATAAACCAAAAGAACCAATAGCATATGGTTTGTTCGAGTGAGTACAAGACTTGCCGGGTGGGTCAAGACTAGGGTTCGAGTTGCAAAAAATCAAGAACCAAAAAGCTTTTTACGTTACCTCTATTGTTTGGATTTTATGAGCTTTCCAATCTGTGATCCCACCAAACTTGGAAACTGCTTCTTTGACCGATTCGAACGGTGCAGCAGTATCGATCAAAACAGGACTCGTGGGTGACCCAAAACGCGGTGAGCCAGATGCCCTCGGATGCACGAACGCTCTTGGTGAGCCAGGAACTTTAAGACGTGAGAGACCAAGATCTTGGATTAATCTAGGTGAGTCAGGTAAACTAATCCTTGCGTCTTCGATGGAGTCAATTGGAGAGTCTAGTGAAAACGAGTCTTGATGGTTTATCATGACTCTTGGTGCAATATACACCTTTGGAGACTCTGATTCAACAAGAAAATGTGGGTCTTGTTCTTGTTCTTGAAGTACATTTAGAGATTCAAGAAACGGATTGTGTTCTGGCAAGAGATTTGGTGTCTCTCCTCCATCTTCCAAGTTTATGAGATCAAGAATAGATGAATCGAATTCGATACTATTGAATGGCGTAGAGGAATCTTCATTGAGATCAGGAAGTAAACAAAGATCATTGGAAACTTTATCATTATCCACCATTGTCACGTAACTGCAATTAATAAGAAAATTGTATTCATGATTCTAACGATTGGATCATTCGATTCAGTTTCAAACAAGATGATTCCAAATCATAGGAGTATAGTTACAAAAAACAAGAAATTTTAGGAGTCATTAATCCGCAGAAAGGGAATTACGTTAATTAAAAATAATGCGAACGCGAGTTTTTGAGGATGGAGTTTGACGCCGTACCTTCATAAAAATGCAACAAAATGCGAGACGAACCTTCTGGAGAATAACTTTGAAGGGAGATTAATGAAGCATAATCCTTTTTTAAGCCTAATCTTTATATTATGTTGACGATCATATCTTACGATTGCCAGAAAAGAAAAACGAACAATGAGAAGAAAGAATTCAGAAAAGAGACGGAAGAGAAAATCATCATCAGACAAAGATTTCAAAATAGTAAAAAAAGAAAGAAAAACCATTAGGGCGTGGAGGGCACACCTCTCTTTCTCCTCTCTACCACCATCTGTGGTTTTGCGTTTTTTTTTTTTTTTTTACATTTCCCTTTTATTTTATTTTATTTTATTTTAGTTTAGTTTTTAATTAATGTCAGATATTTTTTGTCAACAATTAATGTCAGATTTTGTCTAAAAAATGGAAAAATATATTGAAGTTGTAAGTGTTAATAATATTACTTTGACCGGATAAACCAAATGTTTATAGTTACCATATTTTTTCAGTCAAATTTAAGACACAATTTTGACTAGCAAATAAAAAGTTGAATCACAATTTTTCATATAGTCAACATTAAATTGTTGAAAAAACATTACACTAAAATCAAAATAACATAAACAACAATAACACAAATGTCTCTCCTAGAGATAACACATCAGCATTTTGAAGCTTTCTAAAGATGACACCTCAGCAAAAATATTCACCAATCAAAATTTATTAATACAACTCATCTACTTATTTTAATTTTTAAATTTAAATCCATTAAAAACTCAAATACCTTTTCTTTTAATTTTTATTTTATTTTTTTACCAAATCCAAGCCCAATTAATTAATAACAGTAAATAAAAAAATATTTATTTTATTTTTTGTCAAACTAAAGCTCAAATAATAAATAACAACATACAAAAAAATTAAATCTTTGTTTTTGATGGGCAACACAATTTTCTATGTTTGATGGATAATGCAATTTCTTAGTTTTCGTACGAAAACACAATTTCATAATTTTTGTGAAAAATGCAATTTGACAATTTTACAACAATAACACCAATGTCTCTCTTAGAGATGACACATCAGCATTTTGAAGCTTTCTAAAGATGACATCTCAGCAAAAATATTCACCAATTAAAACATTTTATTAATAAAACTCATCTACTTATTTTAATTTTTAAACTTAAATCCATTAAAAACCCAAATACTTTTTCTATTAATCATTGTTTTATTTTTTACCAAATCCAAGCCCAAATAATTAATAACAGTAAATAAAATATATTTATTTTATTTTTTGTCAAACTAAAGCCCAAATAATAAATAACAACAAATAAAAAAATAAATCTTTGTTTTTGATGGGCAACACAATTTTCTATGTTTGATGGATAATACAATTTCTTGGTTTTCGTACAAAAATACAATTTCATAATTTTTGCAAAAAAATGCAATTTGAAAATTTTGGCGTAAAAATGCAATTTCTCAATTTTATTAGGAAAACACGATTTCTTGGTTCGACGAGAAAACAATTTTTCTCTGCTTTGGCGAAAATAGGGAATTTCTCTGTTTTGCGAGGAATAGGAGATTTCTTGGTTTCGATAGGAAAATGCGATTTTTAGTTTTGGTAGCAAAACATAATTTCTCGGTTATGGCGGAAAAAAGCCAATTTTCAGATTTGGCGAGAAAATGTGAATTTTTGGTTTTGGTAAGAAAACAAAAAAAAAATTAATTTTGACGGAAAAAAGAAATATCTTAATTTTCACAGAAAAGGTTTTGATGAGAAATGCAACTTTTCAATTTTGACAAAAATGTGATCTCTCATTTTAATAGGAAATGCAAATTTTTGGCTTTTGACGGATAATGCGATTTCTTGGTTTTAGCCCAAAAATACGATTTTTTAGTTTTTGCAGAAAATTAGAATTTGACAATTTTGGCAGGAATAAACAATTTCTTGGTTTTGATGGGAAATGCAAATTTTTAATTTTTGACAAATAATGTGATTTTTTTTGTTTTCTCGGAAAAATACAATTTCTTAGTTTACACAGAAAAACACAATTTCTCGGGAGATAATGCAATATTTGGTTTTTTCAGAAAATTGTAGTTTATTTGTTTTGGTAGGAAAGATTCTTGGTTTGACAAAAAAATTAATTTTTGGTTTTGGCGGGAATAGAAGATTTCTCGGTTTTTGCACGAAAATATTTTTTTTTGGTTTTGACGGGAAAATACAATTTTTTTATTTCTGCAGGAAGATGAAATTTTTTAGTTTTGGTGAAAAAACGTGATTTTTTGGTTTTGGCGAGAAAACACAGGATCTCGCAGGAAAATAAAATTTTGTTTGACGAGAAAATGATTTTTTATTGTTTGTTCTGGCGGGAATATGCGCTTTCTAAGTTTCATGGGAAAATGAAGTTTTTTTGTTTTGATGAGAAATGTGATTTCGGTTTTTGTAAGAAGATGAAATTTCTTTGTGCTAAATTTTAAGTTAAAGTATGTTTACAGTAACCAAAATTTAAATATTTAACTTCAACTAAAACGATATTTCAACAGTTCAAACAGCAATGATTTTGATGTGAATGTTATTGATTATAGTTTAGTAGTTTTAGAAACATATGTTTATAATAAATATTTGATAAATAAATAAATTTTATAATTCAAGATAATCAGAAATCTTTTTTTAAAAATGGTATTTTACTTTATATAATTATAGGAGAATCAAGTGATAATTTATTGGAGAAAATAGATTACATTTGCCATTAGCATGAATGTACTAAAAAATATATTGCTTTATTCTTACATATACATATATAATTAGTTAGCTAAACAAATTTAATAGCAAATTGTAATTTAAAAAAAAAAAATTAAGGATATATAATGTTTATTCAAATTAAAAACATATAAATACATAACTTAAGCTAATAAAAAATAAACATGTATCTCTTTTATCCTCAACAATCATATTATGTAATATGATACATGACCTCATAATGATAGCCAAATCGGCTATATCCCACATACGAGCTGGTTCGCGAATAATTTTAAATCGAGCCTGCAACACTCCAAATGCACGTTCGATGTCCTTTCGACATCCCTCTTGATGTTTTGCAAACAACTTGTCTGGTTCACTCTGAGGAAGCCTAACTGATTTGACGAAAGTCGGATAAGAATTTTTAAAAATATCTAAGTATTAGGGAAATTTTCTTGATTTAGCCTTACCTGAAGAGATTTTCCTCTTCTATTTATTGATATATTTTAGAATATCCCCAAAAATCTAAGATTTATATTTAGAGATTTTCTCTCTTTGCCATATCTTTCTCTCTTAAACGTCACCTATTCTCACTTTCTCTTTGAGAACTTGTGTTTCAGGTACCATGGCACCCAAGAAGAGAAGCAGAGATTTGGCAACTCAAGAGGAAACTCAGCAAGTGGTTGAAGAAAGGGTCAGGTGGAGTAAGGAAGAGAAGAAAGCAAAGAGGAGGCTTGAGAGGTTGCGGTTTGAGCCTACAAAGTTTGCAAGTAGGGATCTCTTGGAAAGGCTAGGTTTGTTGGAGGAGTTTGATGAGTTGCTCAGGGGCATGGGCCTTGCTTGCCTATCACGGATGGATTGCCCAACTTACCCCGAGGCTACACTTGATTTCCTCTCCACCTTGGACTTCTCATATGAAGATCCAAGCATCCAAACTCCATCCAAGGGTCATGTCACGTTCAAGATCAGAAGACAAGCCTACCACCTCTCCATCCCTGAGCTATGCGAAGCTGATAACCAGTTTTTTTGCAATGTGATGTTGTGTCAAAGCCCAATTGCAACAATGAGATGTAGTATAGTATGCAAGTGAGTGTCAATCCAACCTAGGAGCTATAAAGTGCAATGAGAATGCAAGTATCATGTAAAGCTAAACAAATGATGAACGGTTTTGTAAAAATCCTAAAAACTAGATGCAGCGATTAAATGCAGGGCAAAACTATTTTAAAAATACCAGGAACAAGTTAACTACCATGACGAACAAACAGAATGATTCAAATGCAAAGCTAAGAATTTATAAAAATCGACTAGTGGATCGACCATATGATCGAGCAACAACGATCGATCTCGTCTAAATGTTCAGCAGAAACGAATCTAATGACCAGGATGCGAACAGATAGCAAGCAAATGATTAATCAGAGATGTACGAATACTAAGAAAGAGGGTCCAGGGTTGAGATTCATGTTCTAGGGTCTCAAAGGTCTAAGCTTGGTTTGAAAACTGTAAATCTACTCACTTTGTGAGATTCTATAAGCCTTGAAAACAAAACAAGATCCATCCATGGCATGTGGTATGGATCACTCTTTTATTCTCTCCTCCAGACCCATGGCGTTTGGCGGAAAAAGAGATTGAAGGGCAAAGAACTCAGATTTCAAACACGCGGCTTAACTAGTCCCCTAAACTACCATGGCATTTGGGAAAGGGTAACTAGTCTCTAGGATGCGATTTTCAGAGATCTCTGGATCCTGTCAAGGTAAGAGGCCTCTCTGATCATAAAGATCTTGGCGTGAGAGTCTTTATGCCTTAAGAACTTAAC